TCAACAGGCAAGATGCTCAAAACGAGCGGGGGCTGAAGCAAAAGACGCTTCTGTTAACCATGCTCCGACTGAGTCGGAAGACAGCGAAGGTGTGGAACGCTGCGAGTCCAGCTCCAAGTGTGACATGTCTGTTGGTACTATGCTTACAATCAAGGACACTGAGCGTCTTGAGGCTGAGAATGGCAAGCTACGAAGTGCCCTTGCTGAAACGCAGAATCAGCTGGAAGAGACGGACAAGCTCCTCACAGAGTACAAGGCCACAAATCAGAACTTGATCGCTGGTTTTAACGGGCATTCCGTCACACAAGCAGCACTGCACTCGGAAACCAGAGTCAAGTTTTACACAGCCATTGTCAGTGTGCAGATGTTTCACACACTGCTGTCCTTTATTTTGAGCTTCTGGCAGCCTGATCTAACGTCTCTCCAGCCACAGGAACACCTCGTGCTTGTGCTGATAAAGCCCAGGCTAGGCTTGCTGAATGATGACCTTGCATGCCGGTTCAGGGTGTCCGCCAAAACTGTAGGTGCAGTGTTTCCTGCCTGGCTGGACATACTTTCATGCAACCTTGCAAAGTTAATTGTATGGCCCTCACAAAGAGCTGCTCCGCCGTAACCGTACTTGTGCTTTCCGTGATCCTGTTTTCCGGAATGTCATTGGTGTCCTTGACTGTACTGAAATTTTCATACAGAAACCATTCTACATGCTTGCCAGGAGCCAGACATACTCAAGGTACAAGCAAAACCACACTGTAGAAGTCCTTATTACTGTGTCACCCAGTGGAGCTGTTACTTTTATTTCAAGGGCGTGGGGGGGACGGGTGTCAGATAAGAAGCTAACTTTAAAGTCGGGCCCTTTGAACATTGTGAGGGAAGCGGACGTCTACCTTGTGGACAGAGGCTTCCGGTGTGAAGAGATGTTTGCCGCAAAGGGTGCCACCTTGCTGATCCCAGCCTTCACTAAAGGAAAAAAACAGCTTTCAGGTGCAAAAGTTACCCTTTTTCGCAAGCTGTCTCGTGCACGCATCCATGTAGAGCGTGCAATTAGGCGGCTGAAAGTATTCAGGATTTTTCAGACGGTTTTGCCAATCTCTTTTGTAAAGAAGTCTGATGACGTTGCGATGTGCACAATTGACAAGGCCTTGATTGTCTGTGCTGCCCTAACTAACCTGCAGCTGCCTCTGCTCAACAAGTAGATCTTTGCTGATGCACACTCTAAAAAAAAAAAAAAAACTCGTGGGTCTACTTTCCCGCACAACACTTTGGGAGCCAAGGACTGCAACTTGAAGCAGCAGCTGAGCGAATGACGATGCCGAGAAATATGTTTAAACCAAAAACCGCAGTTTGAGTTGTGACATTAAGCAATGCAATCGTGAAGTTTTGCCTTAGTAAATGTCACAACTCGGACTGTGTTTTTTGGTCTAAACGTATGTTTCGGCATCATCTTTCACTGAGCTTCCTCCGTAAATTGCGATGATTGCGATGATTGGCTCTCCGAGCGTTGTGCGAGAAAGTAGACCCACGGGCTTTTTTTACAGTGCATTTGAGGCTTATTAGTGGCACAACCTTGCTCAGATGGCACATGATTGACTTTAGTGTTACAAGGAATGGTTTTTGTGCACGCAAACTTGTTAAAGGGATACTAAACCAAAACTTAAATTTCGCAAAAAAAAAAGGTTGCAGAAGCGTTCAAAGGGAAGCTACGCACTCCAAAACATCACTCATACATTGATATTTCAAATGGATGGCCATACTTTTGGAAAAAAAGGGCGCGATCAAGCGAGGTCTTTGACGTCATTGTTTCCCCGAGAGAATTTGAGAATGAGGGGAAGTGGCCTCGCTTCTCTCGTCCTCGTGACTTGACGTGTTTTGTCGGCTGTGTTCAACCGCGCACTTCCTTTCCAAAAATATGGCGATCCGTTAGAGATATGGCTGTATGGGTGATGTTTGAGTTTTGCAGCGTCCTGCTTATCAGTCCGGCCTTATTTTGTGAGCTCAAAATTTCGGTTCAGTATTCCTTTAAGGGGCTTAGGTGTCCCCCCTAACAAAGAGCATTACTTTTTTTTTTATACTAAGCTAGGTATGTTCTTATGTTTGATTGTTTTTGTGTATGCAATGTGTGCAATACTTTTCTTTGTCATGCTGACCTTGCAACTAGTTTATTTAAAGGGCCATGGAATTAGATGGGGCTTAAATGTATGCTGCTCCGGGGTGACAGTAGTGTTTTGCTACTCGTGGATTGCACACAAGCTCTGTGTGACTGCTCTATTTGATTACACCAGTGCCTTGGTGGACATTTAACTTGCAAGCATCACCATACATTGGCAGACTGACCTCATGCTGTCCAGACATCTTTCATTATTTATTTTAATTGTGCATGGAAATAGCCAAACTCTTAAATCTGTGCACAGCACATGCCCTGTGCTTTTGCGAACCCCAGCATGCGGCTATGATTAGCAATTACGTGGCTGCTTCTATTTCCTGCGAGTTGAAAAATGTAATAGTATTTGTTGTTTTTTTATATCTTTTTGCAACTGCTAGTGTACATATATGTCAAGGAATTGTTCTGAGCAGTATTTGTGGAAGCAAAATCACTTTATGACCCCTTTGAGAGAAGGACATCATTGTATCTAGGTCCAGAGTGCAGTGATCATGCGTGAACCATTTTGGTAAAGCAGGTAGCTGCAACAATAAACTTAATCCAGCAGTCTGAAAGTGTTTATGTACACTGTGATATTACAGAAGGACTGTGAGGGTTCCAGCTGAATGCAGAGTAAAGAAAAGGTAAGACAAAGGAAGGGTAGAAGAAAGATAGATGCACACTGCTGGCCTACCAACCTTTTAATGAATGACTGTTGAGGAGAAAAGATTTCAGTAAAAGGTTGCTAGTCCAGCAGTGTGCATCTATGTTTCTTCTACCCTTCCTTCCTCTTCCCTTTTCTTTACTCTGCATTCAGCTGGAATCCTCACAAAATATGTCAAGCCAATCGGTTCAGCTCTAGGCAGTCGTAACTACGGAAGGAATCAGGTTTGCCAGTGAATCATGAAAACGGTGACCTATTCTCAAAGCTGGCAAGCAGGGCACACCCATCTTTTAGCCATACGTCTTAGCTTCACACATTTCATGTGAACGGCTCGGTCACATGCAGCGCATCGCAAGACTGATCCAGATTTCTTCGTTTTACAAATGCACATGTCATTGGCGTCCTTAATTTTCTTCAACAATTCTCTGCCGTGGATTTCCGGGAAAACATAGCTAAAGTAGAACTCTTCAGCAATGCTCACTGTGGTGTTCCAAAAACATTCATTGAACAGCACTTCCTCCCCACTTAGGTCAACATTTGTGTAGACTACAAAGAATGCTCGGGTTTACAAGCAATCGTCGAGCCACCTCAGGTCACCACGGCTTCCCCAACTTTGCATAGGTGCATGCGGACTATAAAGTATTTGCCTTAATTTCGTAAAAGAACAAAAGATTGGTAGAGCACGGGCTCTCACGTACTTTAGGACGGAAACCTTCTCGTGGGCGCGGTCGCACGCCCGGCTGCCATAAAAACCAGTGCCTTGGTGGACAATAAGTACGGTTTCTCGTATTCCTCTAATGCTGCACCATTTCAGGGTGTTTTTCGGAAATGGGCGGGAATCTTCGGCACACTTGCTTCGTGGCGACGCGATGCCGTTGAGACGCATCTCTCTTATCTTCTTCCATCTTGGGCATGATCTTGCAAAGCACACGGCCGCAGGACGCATGCGAGCTCATCGGGAACGCAAGAAATTACTATTTATTTATACTCCTATAGAATGTCGAAAGCAACAGGAAAAGCCTTTACCGTACGCCCCGCAGACGAACGCCGATAGATGTAAGTCCTATCACACATATCCCGCTATGAAGTCTTTGCCCCCCCCCCCCCCCCCCCCCCAGCGTAATCAAGCATATATAAATTTTTCACAAGAAACGTGGTGGAGGACGTGGACTTGCTCACGCATTCATGCGCGAGCAATCAAGAAGTCACTTAGTTAGCCGCAGTAAAGAACTGGGTAGATTTTAATAGGATTCAAAGCACCGCAAATCTGTTACATGCTGGGACGTACTTGAGACGAAAATTGCGTCTACGCCAATGCAGTTTGTCGCTGCGGCGCGGTTACGTAATCTAGTTTAGACCAATCGGAGCGTGCTTTCAAAAGGGCTGCGAGTCTGCGACTGCCACAGCAGACGAATGGGAGGAGCAATCGCGTCCGTATGCAGGATACCTCATAAGCCGAAATGCGGCGCCTCGGCTGCACCTAGTAGGATTGCCCTCGGCACGATAAAACGATGGCGTTACTTAGATAACTCAGGATATCCAGCGCTTTAAGCCACGATTGCCTTGCGCGCCATCTGTACTGATCATGTACTTCCACCCCTCCTAAAGCCTGCAGCTGTTTGGGGGCACAATATATATAATTGATTAATATATTGATTGATGTAATGACTTAGTTATGTATTCAAGTATTTTTAAAAGGGAAACAACGATGGTCATACACTCTCAAATGTCTAATATGAACTTATCGTGTGATTCAGTTTACGATCTTGAGAATTTACAATGGGATCTTTCAGAAAGATAAATTTTAAAAAAGGCATATCAGAAAATTTATAAAAACACAGGTGTGTCCTAAGTCATGGTGTTGTTTTAAATTAAAACCAATTTCACCAAGACATTCTGGCAGTTTTTCGTATTGTAGATCTCCTTTTTTCTCGAAGTACCAAACATACCTGTATATACCACCTTCCTCCTATAACCTCGAAAATAGTTGGCCCTGCAGGATAGGAAGTTATGTGGTTGTCACTTATAGTGACTAAGTAAATAGAACTACACCGTTAATATTTTTATCTTGAAATATTTGCAGGACAAGAACAAATGAGTATTTCATATATCAAATAAAAGCAGTACCGGGAGATACAATTCCCAAAATCTCGTGCTTAGCAGCAGTAAACACAATTCAGTGCCCAAGGTTTTTTTTATTTACAATAGTGTCAGGGTATCCTTATCAGTTGTCGGAAAGTATTCATTTCCGTGGCAAAATCCACTCAAGCAGATGCCGACCCCGCCATTTTTTAGCTAAAAGAGAAGAGACGTGTTTCGGTGAACATTTATTTTCATAATCAAATGTAACAAATGGGTTGACATAGAGCTAAATGACGTTTAACACGACACTTTTCTGCGGCACAAGCCATAACTGAACATACGCGTCTTTGCGTTTTCGCTAAATAAATAATTAAATGTGCGACATAAAAAAATATATCTTAAAAGATAGGTCATCCACAACCAAAAATCATCATATTAATTTGTAGTTTTTACTACAATACATAAAATATGTTTGAAGCACTAGCGAATATTTAAATTCAAGATTATATTTTACAGAAAAAAATAATGTTATCACCCAAATTTTGTCTTAAATTGTATAAAGTTTTCATTAATAAATTATTTACTCCTATTTCGTAGACCTTTAGCAATAAAACGGCAAATCGTAGCCGAGGAACAACATTTCACATGTTTACATTATTCAAGAAAAAAACAAAAATCAACTACGCATTATCATAATAAACAAACAGGTCATTGGTGGTTCTGGAGCTTTTCACAATAAGGTATCCATGTTTCAAAAGTATATAATTGTCTAAGTGATAATCACTGATCTCTATAATAATTTCTTGAATCGTGCATCCCCGCTTTGTCGCAGCAGCTCGAACGCGGCCACCGGAAGGAAGAGGAGGATATAAGAGCATACGAGGATTTTAGAAGCACAAAACTCTAATCGGAAAGATTATTGAATACACGCAAAGCTAGTTCTTAGATTGTTGGGACTGGGATGTACTACAGTGTTATCTGAAGGACTTTCCTTAAAGGCGCATGAGGTACGCTTTCTGCCTGTTGACTCAGCAGACACTCTACCATATAATATTATTATGTTGGTTGGGTTACACTGTATTTGGAAGAGCCGTAGGGTAGCGCGGCATGCCAGCGTAATGTACAACCTGCAAGCAAGTTTTTTTCTTGTAGTATCATACATATTCGAGAGGTGTATCAGGCTCTGGGAGATGTCCCAGATTGGTTTCCTGTCCTCGACGGGCTGGTTGCTTTAAGATCCTTCTAGTCACACAGTGTTGGCCGTAACTCGGCTTGTGTGTTAGCAAAATGTTAGCCAGCGTGGCTTTTTTCTGCACAGAAAGCATTGTGGCGATAAATATGAAAGGACGTAAAGCTAGCTTTCTTCGCCTTTGTTGTTCTAACGCGTGAAAACGCTGAAGGCCGGCGTGGGACACTGCGCGTTCACGTCCGCAACAATTCCTTTGGTACCAATAGTCTGCCCTACCCCTTTAGCGTATGGAAAAAAGAAAACTCATTTAACGCGAAAAAAGGAAAAACGAAAAACTCTCTCGGCGCAGTCGCAGAGTTTCGGTTGCAAAATCGTAGGGTCGTCGGTTCGATCCCTGTCGTGGGACGTTAAGGATTTTGCTCTTTCTTATCCAATTATTACCACTTCTTCTCAGTTATGATTTGTTTCATACAGATTGCCATCTTAAGTACGAGTTATGCATTTCGTAGCGGTTTCTGTGGTGTTCCATTTCACTTTCTACACATGTTATTATTATCAGCCAAGGAACGCCAATGACTCTTCAGCACTACTTTCGGGCTACAAGTTTTTACATTTCAAATTCAGCGGTGTAACGTCACTAACAATTGTTACACAGATGTGCAACTTGCGACATCTCTAAATGTCTAAAAAATGCCTTCACCTTCTACGTTATCACGCCAATAAATAAATGAAGCAAGGAAGAGTCGGATTCGGGAGGGAGGACGTGGATTCTTTGCGAGCTCTTCCTCACGCTATAAATTTAACAATTTTGTTTTCGCAATGAACTTTTGTTGGGGATAATGTCACGTGTTTCTGCGTATATTTGTTTATGTTCAGTCACCATTACTTTACTACCCAAATATTCCTGACAATGTATTAAGCAACCATTGCTCATGAAGAGTGGACAGATTTGGTGTCGTAAATACGGTCAAACCTTCAGTCTAGTTACACGCCTGCACGTCACCATGCAGGCGTGATCTCTCGTTGTAAACGGTCCAATTAATTCGGAACGCAGTCGGCCACAATTAAGCGCAAATATGTAGAGCAGCGTTTACCTAGCTTAGCCTTAACCTAATCTATATTATATTTGAAATAATGCGACTGGGCCCTCACTGGGACGTGTTTAATAGTACTCACTGTGCATTCGGTACGATCCTTGTGAATTCCGTAGGAATATCCGTAGGAATCTGTCTTGCAAATATACAGGCAGTTTTCGACAGAATAGTCCTGAAGGATGCATGTTACAAAGCGCCATGACTCACTCTCCATAAAACAGCAATATCATTTCCTTTTTAACATCAATGGGATAGATATACGGGGAATTGCAGGTAAATAACGCAAATAAATAAAAATAGCTTCTGCACGCTACATATGTCGAAACAACGCAGTATTTTGTACTGAAATATTGAGGGACTCATGAAGCTTTAATGATAAACACAAGTGGCTAATTAGCAAGCAATAAATAGCTAACTTTTTAAACATTACTTTTGTACACACACCATCTAATACAAAAATTGCAAAGCGCGTGGAAATAACCAAATAGTGTCGTTTTTACTGAAGGTAGTACTCTTTCTAATGGTTTTAAACAAAATAAAATGGCGAGATCTAAAAAAAATACATGTGCACGTGGCACTTTTTTTAAGCATCGCGCGATAATTATTAGGTTTAAGAACACCTCGAAACTAAATAAACACGCGTAGGCCACCTTGTTGAAAATGACACGATATGTTTCTAAATGCGCTCCACATACTTTGCATTGGACAATCTGCGCAGAAATTCTTGTTTTAAAAGTTAGGTAATTCGTTTATTTTAAGTAGGCACTTGGGCACATAGCCAAAATATCTGGGCTTGCCTAACAAGACCGTGAACAATTCTGCATTGGTTCGACACGCGTAGCGTGCATCCTATATTTTGATACGTTGCCACAAATTAACTCAAACACTACTTATGGTTTCTATAAAAAAGGATTTAACAAAACCATACACTTTGTTTTATAGCTCAATATTGAGTTGCCTGTTCACTGTAGAATATTGCATTTGCTTGCCAATGAACTGTTGTGCCTAAAAAACAAATATGAAAATTTTGGAAAAAAGTTAAACAATAACATCGTTTCTACTTTACGTCTGGCTTGTATTACGTTTCATAATTATATTTATTTGTTTCGTAACTCACGCTTGACATGGGTTCGCAATTATGAAACTTGGCTTGCAACTCAGGAAGTTGGCTCCATACTTGTTGAATGTTCGCTGTCGTAATGGAAATGTATGAAATGTGCGGTATTAGGCAGCTACGTGAAAAAAGAAATCCGCTGCCAATGTATCTTTCGAACGGCTGCCGGATTGCGGTTTTACGAAATAAAACGCCATCTGCTCCACTGGCACCCCACTGCATCTTTCTACGCCACGCCTTCTTGATTATGGAACACCGTAAGTTACTTGATTCCTACAAAACTACCATATTCGATGCTGTGCCCATCGCCTGATAAATGAACTAAAATTTGGGGTTCCATTAATTCCGCTTAAGAAAAACGTTTTTGGTGAGTTAATAAGGCAGTATCACACAATCTTCTCATAATATTTAATTTGCGGCCCTTCGCGGATAAGAGCAGGTACTTATAAGGTTTCTCATATAGCAATAACCAGCTTAATTAGGAATTAGTTTTTATATTTCTTTGTACTGTTCCACTTGACCAATACCGGTATTATGCACCGCTGCGACTTATCAACCACAATCATCTTGATGATGCGGTGAAACTCTATGATGCTTTATAACCGTGATTGTGCTACATCATGCTTAACTGGAGTGCGGTTGACGCAATGAAAAAAGCCTTTGACATGATTTTTCTCACTTTCCCGAAGGTGCATGTGATGAGCATATGTGAACTAATATTCATCTGGAACCAATGTTGCGTGAATTTTACGCGCTACAGCTTAACTTTGTATTGTTGTGGAACACAGTTGTGAACGTCCAAGTGACCTTCGGGGAGGTGCCTATACATTTTACCCTTCTCAGATATCAAATACTTCTCGAGGAGGAACTTTTATTTGGAATGCTCCACACTAACAGGTCAAAGTCCCGTCCGAAGGAACGACAACGAGAGCTGAGGGGGAGATAACACTGGAGCCACCAGTGTTGCTTGTCGGTCTTGTCCTTTCTTTATATCTTTATTCTTCATTCAGAAGTTATCACGCACTGCACGAAGGCCTTAGTTCAGGAGAGTTACAAACGTAATTTTTTTTTTTTTTGTTGCTTCAGTTGCAGAGCACATTTTCTACTCCAAGTAAATGCGTCTTGCAAGCCCCAATGTTGCCCTATACATGTGGAACCAGATAACCCTATGTACACCCGTCGGAAATAGGAAAATGAATACGTTACCTGGTTTCTGGCCTGTTTTACAGCTCCCTAAAGCTATATTAACTCTCAACGTCTAAAATGGCACGTGGCTTGGGGGTCTTAATTTTGCGTTCTAGCCCTCTTCTGGAACAGAACTCGCTCCAAAAGTTGCAGGAGCGTCAAAAACGAGAAGGTGGCTGTTCACCTTCATCTCGTTCAAGAGTGTACTTGCCTGCTGGCCTGTGACAGCACCCCACGAGCGTATTTGCGCTTCGTTTGCGCTCAAAGGTTCCGTGTATGTTGATGCTTCGCAAACTCTATGGTGACAGCGGAGAAAAACAATCCCACACCACATACTCAGAAAGACAAGCACACGCGCTGAACTTACAACTCTCATGTATTCGACTACTTCGTTCTTCTCTTTAATGTCTCGATTGACTTTCCAGAACTTGAGAAGTAGAGGAAATAGTACGAAATACAAGAAAAAAAGGCGAAAGACCCCGAAGGAAAAATCCATCAATGTAACCCTGTTTGGCAGTCAATGTTTTCTAGTGGACCGCTGACTGTGCCTGACTGTACGTCAAGCATGTCTGATTGGCCAACAAGTTACTCTGACCGACAGTCAAACTCCAGTCAGACTCTGCTTGTCGGCTCTCTGATGGTTTCCTGGTGGCAGTCGGCCGCCGCGAAATTCCATCAGGATGTCTTGGTGGCGATTCTGACTGTACATCGATTGTCTCTGACTGTACGTCAAAAAGCTTTGACGTGCAGACAGACGTACGGTCAAAGGACGTAAAGTTCGTTCGGACACCACTATTTCGTCAAATCTATGAATACGAAAAGTAATCTATGCACGAGAAAACGATTTCGGGACGTGAGCCCATAAAACCGCTGACGTTAGATATTTGACACGCAACCGACCGACAACCTTGATCAGAAGCCCGCCGAAGCGCCGAAAGCGACACCATCCGAATGCAGCTCCGGAGTTCCCGGTTGGGCCGATAGGGGCGCCGCGTCGCTGGCTTCTCTCTTGTACGTCCATCCAAAGAGCAGATTCGTAGGTCTACCCAGCCGACTCCGACCAAACTGTTATGCTCATATTCGCCGCTATGATTTTCAGCGCAGGCGACGTGTATATGATCTTCGCTACCGAAAGCGAAGCACTCTGGGCTCTTCCGACCAATCAGTAAGAGCGAAGGGAAACGACCGTTTTTGTCTTTTTTGTTTTGTATGCGCTCGCTCGTCACTCCAAGCTTTCAAACCGTTCCGCGCGTGCTAAAATCGAAAGTGCGGATTTTACGGCAGTATGCAGTACGGTGCGACGCTGCTGCGCGCTTATAATAATTAGAGATGTACGTCTCTAATTTGACAGAGATTCTGCCGAGTGTTTTGCGTGCCTCATACGGCGTATTACGGAGTCTACAGCGCGGCGAAGTAACCTCGGAGTGCTCATTCTTCCGCTTTCCAACAGACGACAGGTGAACTTCTATATCATTTTTTTTTTTTTTGTCAGCGTTCGAAACTCGACTTTTCCATCAGAGCATCGAAATGGATTGCGTATGCAAATCGCCAGGACTTTGGAAGCCTGCCCGGGCTGCCCGGCTTGCCGACGAGCAAGCTGCGCCAGCGTCGTTTGTGCAGCGAGCACTTCGGTGCTACCGTTGCTACCGTGTTTGCAAGTTGTGGGAAGATTCGTTTGTGGAAAAACGCGTGCCCCACCGTTCTAGTTACGAATCCGTTGCTGCAAGGACTTGCTCCTTTGGGTGAGTTGCTGTCAGAGCAATCTTCAGTTAATTTGACAGCTTCGTGTTTATATGTTAGGATAGAGTACCGATAAAGCACCTACAGTCAGAGATGTAGACACTCCAAAACAGTAGTTTCTTTCTTTCTTAATTGCATTGCCTATTGGCGAGTTTGTTTATGGTTTATTTATTGTTTATTCTTATGCAGCTCACCTGCAAGCCTTTTCCTTTATTTCGGCGTTGATTTGTTTGTTTGGGTATTCATAAGTTTAGTTTGTGGGAGTTGTTTATAGAGCATTTAGATAATTCGATGATAAGTGCTTTTCTCTTAGTTTGTACATTAATGTAATTAATTTCGTTTTACATGTTTGACAACTTTACTGTGTTTACTGCCTACTACAGTTCTTGGTTCCCCTTTGAGGGCGGTGGACTGCCAACGGAGTTTGTAGATGCGTGTTTGAAGTACCGCAACTCATTTGAATGGGGTTCAATAAAAAAATACATTTCAATGAACGTGCTGTTTCTGTTTGATTGCACTGGTAATATCACGTGAAGCGCAGTTGTTGTGAAGTATATCGCGCGCAGCTCGTCTGCTAGACCGGTGCCGTGCTGGCCGCTCACAGTGGCCGGCGCGGCACCAGCTTAGCAAACAAACCAGAAAAAAAAAAAAAAAAAAAGAACCCCGGGGGGGGGGGGGGGGGGGGGGGGGGGAGAAGGGGGAAAGGAGGAGGAGGACGGAGGGCGCACGCCAACGGCAGTGGTGGCGCCATCTGGCAGCCTTTCGAGACCAATTTTAATCTCCGACCAGACGTATGTTCGCCTTTCTGCCACTAGCGCCTCGTGGCGCTAGTTTTTCCTTACCATGGTGGAGGCTACAGCTGCACTCGGCTGGCGACACTTCGCTTCGCCCATAGAGGCTTCGCCGCTTCGCCGAGCTTTCATGAACGATCGCTCTCGACTCGTTTTGTTTGCCCGCTTGCTCCAACCTGTCGATCCTGCCAGGGTTCTACAATGTCTTATGTTTGAGTAGAATTTCTACCCGACAAGACCCAGCCTGTTGTGAGTTCCGACGATGTAAGGGACTTTAGCGGTGTAGTTGAAGACGACAAGGTGTACCAGGTCTACTGGGCCGGTGACGCGCGAACAAAAGGATCGTTCTACGACGCGAAAGTACTCTACATGGCAGGTGAGTAGAACTGAAGTACGGCGAGTGATGTACGAGTGCTTTGCATAACATGCTGACGGCTTAACTGCATTTGCAGCCGAAGCATCTTGTATAAAACGATTAGTGAAATCGAGTTTCAAAAACGGTCCCATGGCATAGCGGTTACGGTGTGCGATTTGTACGCAAGTGGTCGCGGGTTCGAATCCGCGGTTGTCCTGCTTTTTTTTTCTTTTTTTTTTCTCGAACATTTTGTTTTATCGAGGCATTTGACGATATTTATGAGTGCGTATAGCTTTACTCTTATATAAATGCTGCCCTTGTTGATGAAAATCCCTTGGCAGTGGCAGTCAGACGTCATCTGATGGACCATCAGATGACGTCTGATGGTCCATCACGTTCCACCAAGGCTGCTGACTGGCAGTCAGTGTCCCAAATTACGTACCTTGATGGAATTTTCAATAGGGACAGGACGATAAAAAAAAGAAAAGAGAAAAGGAAAAAAAAAAAAAAAAAGCAAAACGCGAAAAGGAAATCCTTTTTTTTTAGTATGTTTATTTTAACGTTTATTTCTCGTTTTTTCTTTTCCTTTCCTTTGTCTTGTCTTCTGCCTTTTTGTATTTGGCGCTATTTCGTCTGCTTATCACGTTCTGGAAAGTCAATCCAGACGTTTAAGAGAAAAACGAAGTAGTTGAATACACGAATGTTGTAAGTTCAGCGCGTGTGCTTGTCTTTCTGAGTTACTGGTGAGTGATTGTTTCTCTGCGCCCTCACCGTAGAGTGCGATTCACTAACTGGCCCAAACATCGATCGTAAAACAATGCTTCGCACCTCGTCTCGTCATATAAATAATGTTTTTGTTTCTAAGCTAAAATCATCGCTTCCTCTCCTTCCTCCGAATCGAACACACAGCAGAGCATTCCAACTAATAGTATAGCAGAAGTTGTAAGAATATATAAAGTACTCAACTTCGTGCCTTAGGGCGGTGTATTTTGTGCCGTTCATTTCTATTGTGCCACGTTTTACGGCTGATTGTGCTACACCTCGACAAGGTCTTCAATCTCATCAAGCCTCCAATGGTAGGGCATGTTTTAGATCTTTTCGGCTACATAAAATGTGCAAAGATGACTGCATGAAGGAGGTTTACGCAAAAACTCAAATCGAAAACTGTTAACGAGTGCCTGCTTGGGGTATTGGCGATGCAGCATGTTAGATTGGTAACAATACTTGGCAAAGAGCTAAGCGCAGAACAAATTATCATGAAAATCGCTAATTGTGTTATTCTCGACATTTTAAATATAAAAATTAAATGCAACGTCTTCTTACGTCCATCATATTGAACGCATGTTCCGTTTTCGCAAGTCCCAATGTGTGTGAACACTGTAAGTTCATCATCTGCAGGAGCCTGCAATGAAAACGTTGCCTCTTAAATTCACATACCACAACAAAATTGATTCACATAGTAATAATATACATTCTAGGATGTAAAGCTTCCGGGGTTGAATTAGTACGGCAACGCACATGTATCGGAAAACCAGGGTAATTCGAATACATTGTAATATACCGCGGTCCCTTTGTATAAATGACTAGCGTCTTACGGGTAGGAAACACGGCCGCTGAATAGTCTAGGCTACCGTGATTAAGTTATATAGTACTGAGCGGCGATGTATTAGGGTTGACGCTTATAGAGCACCTTTATTAACATAAGAATCGCGATGGTTATGTTAAACATTTCCGGAAATCTAATCAACAGGTAGGTTTTTCTAGAAAATACTTAAACAAAACTTTGCCTGTCTTGAACAACCTTGATTTGTACAACATGTAACTTTTCTTGTAATAGGCACGGGAAATAGAATGGAGCATAATATTTTTTTAACAGTATGCACGCACCCCTACTTGGCAAGCGATGTCAATTTGACGTTGAAACATGGGTTTCAATTTTTATTATATACATATTTGTGCCCAGGAACCTAGTTATTGATTCGTTAGTTAATACCACATTAGTTCTAACTAAGTCACGCTTTACGGAAAGAATATAGAGCCAATGAATCAACATATACGCAGCGGCGAAAAAAATACTGTCAGCGATATTTAGCGTTGAGCTGTAGCATATTTTTTTTTTCGTAAATGGGCTATTGATAGTAGCATGCGTAATTATATTTTGTGAAAAAATACCATTCAATGTTACGGAATATCACAACCGTAGTGCGAGGGAAAGTTTACTTCTTGACCAAATATCTTATTAACACTGTAGAGCTTCAGAAACGTTTTTTTTTTTTTTTTTTCGGTCTTCTGCAACTAAATTTATTATCGAGCATATAAAGAAGCCGTAGGCGTGAAAACAAAAACAGAAAGTGCACAAAAGTAGCTCGCAACTACGTTAAGGTGCTTCATTTAATTATTTTGGAACAGCTAAAAAGACCGGTGAGAAGCAGACACACACAACACGGAGGGACGCTAGCATTCAGCTGGTTTAATCGAAATCTTGTTCAAGCAGTGCACCCGCTTACCCTGCTACTGACAACAGTAAAAATCTAACATATTTACGCCTATTAAGAATATATTTTGGAACGCTCGGTTTTAAAAAGAAAGTAAAAAGGAATAAAACAAACTTGTAATTTAAGGAACTTTATGGCTTGCCAAGGCACTTGTCAGGATATAAACAAATAAAACGCTTAAAGATATTTTTTTACAGTTTTAAAATGTGTGTGATCGCCGACGAGCTGTTTGTAACAACTCTGTGACAATCCTGCATGCGTTGCAGGTGCGAACCACAATTATAAGTCACAAAACTGTTTTAATTGAAATATCGCAGCTTTGTACTAGTACGACTGCCAACAACTTAGCGGAATTTTTGAAACAATAATCGTAGGGCACGTTCTAAACTGAGTAACGTGCTTGTTGAAACAATGACCGTGTTTTTATTTTGCCATCAAAAGGCATATTTTTGACAGCTTGCAAGATTAGAAAAATACAGCGTTCAGATAATATTTACAGCTAACTTCTTGATGTTGAGTGAGAGCTTGTGGGGAATTCTCTGGATTTTTGATTTAGACTGCATTGGGAGTTTTCTGTTGGACTCGACATTATTTTATGTGTTTTCCAACAACAGTGATGAGCGCGGAAGAAGAACTGAACAACTTTCCTTGAGACAAGTTATGTTCTTCTAAACAAATAAATACATCGAACGTCATTGGTCTTATGTAACAACTAACTCAGTTAAGAAATGTCTGCGCTGAAGTATTATCGAGATTGAGGAATTAATTTTAGTCAGCAGTTATATAAAACGTATGAATCGGTCATTTTTGTTACGATCTTCAAGGTAACATTCTCAAACAAAGACAGCCCTTATGATAATTCCTCCTGTTAGAAATAATACTCATAAATATGTACATTTTTTTGGCAGAATATAATAGTACACTCCACATTACGAAATCGTCCGTTTAAATGAGCTGCGCTCATTGCTTGAGGATTGTACAATAAATGTCAATTTTATAGGTTCAAGTGTTCCTGTCACATTCTTACTACAAAGAAGGTTAAATGAGTTGTCGCACTGCCTCTACAAGGTGACCAACACGTTTGATTTAATAATATTTTTATTTGTTTGTATAAATGAATTTTTTAATCTCATTTGAACAAGTGACTCGCAATTTAAATATTGAATAAATAAATTCGATAATAAATGCCATAACGTTATGCAGTCATCTTGAACGTAAATATGTATGGCACGGTTATGCCTTGTATATACATTTAAAGGTTACAAATGAAGGGAATAGGGGTAAACAAGATCTTAGTAATTGTGAAGCTATACTTACAACGCACGGTGTAGCATCTCTATAATTGCCCCAATATTCTGTTATATCTTCCGGTGGCCCATTCCTGCAGGTGTAAGTGCAGCCCGGCGAATATCCCAGCTAGTTCACATGAAAAAGAAATTATTCAATACATATATAACAAATTAAAATTATACAAAAATCAAACACACAGGGAGAACGTTTTAATTCATATAAAACAATCTCGATGCGTATTTGTCTTTAATACTTCAATTCCTAGCGGAATAAGAAAGAGAGCAGTCCTTAATTAATCCACGCAAAAAAGTGCAATGAACAAAAATGCTGAAAATAGGTATAGGGTTTAAATAAACGGGTTTTGTTTTAGAAGCTCCGTCCTTTTAACAATTTTAACTTTAAGCTAACAAGATCTCGATTGACTCTTAGCGCGCTGTTGTCATAAAGGTAAATTTGTTGCCGATATAAGGTCAGAAATTCGAATAATTAAGGCATTCATCTATTCACCTCTGTTTACTAAAGTTATTTGTTCTCCATTAAAGGTTTGCGTATCCGTTGTTGAGTATAAGGCAAATGAGCACAAAATACCATAAAACTATGGGGCTAGCAAAATAAACAAGACTGATCACGTGTGCAACGAAACGCCGCCCCCCGACGCCATTATTTGTGGCTGCTTAGCAACCACCTCGACTTTGATTTTTTCACGTCGTTCCTGGTGGTTGCATGTTGGCAAAGAGCAACATTCTCTTTGAACTCGTTTCTGTTTCTCTTCTCGAGGGCAGAATTCTGGTTCTCAAAGAATCGGCGAATTTGCGACAGCCGTAAAAATTGCGGAGCTTAGCTCGGCTATGCGAGGATATGCGTAGCATGAGCTTATGCCCACAAAATGAGAGGCGCCATAAAGCGGCTCCGGTGCAGCGTCAGACTTGGCCAGTGCGCAACGGAGGCGCACAGCTGGGCACGCGGCGGCGCCAGTGCGTTTGTGCGCGGCTATGACGTCACTCCTCTGGAATGCGCAGACCGGCGAGGCGGGCGAGGCGACGGCGGAGCGCGCGGCGATGGTGGCTCCGGCGCGCCAGCTGTGCGCCAAAGTGACGTCACTGCTCCTCGCGCATGCGGAGCACTGAGCACGGCTCATTATGCGAGCAACGCAAAACTGCTCAACCTCGGCCAGTGTTGCTCACGCTACAAAAAAACAAGGCAGCCATGAATACGGTAACAGAGAATGTGGGAGCTTAGAGCCCCGACGCAGCTGCATCGTTTGTGCAAAAAGCCGACAGTCTTTTGCCTCGTATAAGAACATACGCCACCAACTGTATCTTAAAATCAGAGCTTGCGCTGTGACACCACTGCACCGGCGATCCAAGGAGCGGAAGAACTGACTTGGCGTATACAAACATACACAGTAAAACGAAAGTTGGGACAAATATTGTATACAAGAAAGGATCAGCCTCAATAAAATATTGAAAAGTATTTATAGTAATTTTAGGCGTAGACGAATATAGTACGTCTGCACAGTGTTAAGCTTGCAACAGGGTATTTAACGTGAATCTGTGTGCCTTTAGTGGTGTGACTGAGGCTGTTCTGTTAGCTAAAAGTGCTTTACTTAGGATGGCTTTTATAGAGGTGTTTCTTTGAAAAATTAAAACATGAAAATTATACATTGGCGTTCAAAATGGGGTCAATACGAGCAGACAAGCTGTAATTTAAACGGGGACACTATATTTCCTGTAAAGTTGTGGAAGACAACAACGTTTGGGATATATCTGGTATATTTATGCAATTTCTCAGGGAAAAATAAGTCAATCTTATGACTCTCCTATTCGTTTAACTTATATATATATATACATTTTTTTAAATACGCTTTAGCGAGAATCTTGGTGGTGTTGTTTCCGGTTTAACTAAACGAAGAAGCCATTCGGTGACAATTCTAAAAGGAACAAGACTATGCGTATTGTAAAGCCCGATCACTACAAAAGGTGAGAATAGGTTGAATAATAAAGTTATAGAGACCTAGGCATAGCCAGTTCAGAAGAGCGAAAAACCTGGTTAGAGGTGTTCTTTAATAATGATAGCGCCGGGCTTCTCTTCTGGGGTTTCGAAATTAGTCCATCTCTACATGCCGGACGCCAGGGTGCTCGCCGACTGCCAGGGCGCTCCGACGCCGGCTGCTCAAAATTACAAGCCAAATTTAGTCATTTGAGGTTTTGAATAGTCATGACAAGATGCCGTGTGATTGCATACTATCATACGTCATTTTGTAGTTAGCGCAAGTGACACTTTTGCATTTCGCCCGGAAATATAGATATTAGTCGAATGGGCCATATCCGTTTGTAGCGCAGAGGCAAAATGTAGGTCTTTCGCTCCTTGGCTAATTTTATTATAGGTGATATTCACAGATGACGTAAGATATGTAGTCATATCATACATAAAGAAGGGTGCGTGCGAATGCGCAACTTTAATACGCAGCAGAGTACTGCGATTATCGTGCGGTGACGCGCTGATGAACAAACGTGACGCGGGATCCGGCCGGGGGATCCAGGAAGGGCATATATACTCACATATTTAACGCAGGAGACTACCGCAAAAAAAAAAAAAAACACAATTGGTAGGGCGTTTTAAGACGTCTGTTGTTTTGTGTGTTTCAACTATGTGTAGAGATGCTTATGAATTCGTTTAGGACTTTGATGACTATGTAAACGGAGATAAAATAGGATTCTCCAGGTACTCTAAGACTGGTATATATTCAATACAGAGTGTGGTATATGACAGGTACGTAACCATTTGCGTTCGGAAACCAGAGACGGAAGTCGATAAGCCGACTGGCTGCCAAACGTTGAGACGCGTTTGTCTCACTGATTGGACATAGATGTAAGCCGAACGCCTTCCACGTGTAAATTCGTGTTAATCCAGGCGGGGATCCAATATTATGTGTTCAAGCAGACGGCGGTGCTCTTTTCCGTGCAACAAGCACGCTCCGGGCCTCACAGAAAAATATCGCAAGAGACGACAGAAAATCAGAAAACGGAAAGCGGGCGCTGTTTGGTTCTCTTTTGCCACGAGCTGGCATCTGGGTTCTGTCCACGGTGCAGTGTTTCAGTTGCACTGTTACTTCTGGTGCACACCGCTTTAGCCCCTACATTTTATTTTAAACTGATAAATTGCTGACGCTACCTCTCACGCCAACCATTCTGCCCATGTGTACACAGTTTCTTCTCAATAACGCATCACGTTCTCCGTAACTACTGCCACTGTAAAGCCAGTGGTAAAGGCAGCAGTTACACTGGAAGGGGCATGGCATTAACGTGGGAACTGTCACACGCCATTCACCCTGCTACTTGAAGTACTACTGTCTAGTACTCTCGTGGTGGCTTTACCTGCCAGCCCACCGTTCTTCTACCAGTCTGGATGCAGATCTGCCTGTATACACCTTAGCAAAAATTGCCTTCTGTGCGCTGCCATTTTTGTCTTCTGAGCTGTTAAATACAGACCTGCCTAGATTGTTCCGTTACGGGATGCACTGGATATATGGCATCTATAAGCGACCACACTTTGCGACCAGCTCAGCTCAGTACACAACTTCATCTAGTTGCCAGACGGCAGCTAGGGACGTCATGTGACACATCAGGATCTTCTAAAGCCGACCCAATCCATCTTCCAATTGGGGCACGGCATTACCATAGCAACTGTCAAGCCATACACATATCCACTTCAGGTACTACTGGCTGCAATGCTCGCGGCGGCCCCATCTAACAGCCCTCTGTTCTTCTATCAGTCTGGATATAGATTTCCCTGTATACCGACCTGCCTGGATTGTTCCGTTGCTGGATCCACTGGGTAGAAGGCTTCAACAAGCCGGCACATATTGCGAGCAGTAACACCTAGTACGCAACTTCATTGGCGTCTGGCAACTAGGTATGGGATGACTCGCCTCAGGATCTACAGAAGCCCGCACGATCCGTCTTCCAGTTTAGGGACAGCATGTCGGAACTGTCAAGCGATCAACCTCTCTACTTCCGGTGCTCCAGTAGCTATCCATGCGGTGGCCCTACCTGCCAGACCGCCGTTCTTCTATCGGCCTGGATACAGATATCTGGAGACCCGAAACAAGGTGGACAAAGGACAGACACCAATCTCCAAACGCAACTAAGTGCGCGACCTAAAAGATCCATCTAATCTCAGTCAGAAACGTGGGTGAGATACGAAAGGAATATAATTAGATTTTTCTTGCACAATTTTGAGTTGATTTTAACCCCTCGAATCTCAAAATATCATATAGTTTAGGTTGCTAAGAAAAAAGGGCGAATTGTCGCAAATGTGTTTTGATTTAAAATTAAGGAACCAATTTTGGCGTCAGGTCACAGACTGAAACACAGCAGATTCGTGATAATAAAGGAATATACCAAGTCGTCTTGGCCTTACGTGTGGCATGTTATTTCAATTTTACACACCCTTCAAAACCTGCTGAGATAAGCTCCTCATCAAGAACAAGCGTTACGTCGACGGTCCGGTAAAAGACTACGTAATGGATCTGAGCCCACAGCTAAACGATAATAAGAAGGCCCGGACCCCACCTCCAACCTGCTGTACCAGCTAAACTACAAAATAGCAGCGTCATAATTTTAGTTTTGAAAGCGTTCGATGTTTCATGCGATAAAAGATTGAGAGATGCAGCTTTGTCAACGATAGCCACTCTGATAGTGCTATATTTACAAAAAAAATTGACTAAAGTAGGACGTTAATGATGATGAACCTTTTTTTTTATCAGTATACGAACTTTTTTTATCACAATAGGAACTTTCTTTAAACCGTCCTTCTCCCCTAGGCGAATGGAATAATCTTCCTAAAAGTATTTCCAAATCAGAATTACTGGCCATCTATAACGACGCGCTACTCAAATATTTCTTAGTTATTTAGTTTCCCTGTATTGAATTGGTATGTTTTGTTATGGTTATTTTTGTTTTGGGTTATTTCTGCCTTGGCGTTTAGATAAAGATGCTGGCATTATAAACAAATAAATAAATAAAGGTCCCTATCTTTTATCTCCACAACAGTTTAGGTCCTTTAGCGTACGCCGTATCGCTTTTTCCTGTAACTTTTAATAACTTAGTTCCCCCTCTTGCAAGAAAAAAAAGGTAATAATCTGGCAAAGCCCAATACGAACTTTCGCTATTTTGAATGTAGAGCAAGACATCTTATTGGATTCTATCTGGACTTCATGTTTCCAAAAACATTGCGAGTTAGATTTCTCGTTCCATAATCCTAAATGCGAAAAGTTATTTTGGATTTTGGAGGTAATGTGTATTATCTCATATTAATTTGTACTCAAGTACAAAATGGCCACCGCTTGGTCCCCACAAACAATATACTTTGCTCTTGATTTTTGTTTGTTTTTTGTCTATGCCAATGTTTTCGAAAGGCATCTTTTTATTCTACTTTAGTTCGTATTCGTAGAAAAATGTAGGGCGGTTGTGAACTTAATTGATGCTTATTCTAGAACCGTTCTTCCAAGTCAATGAGTGCCTAGATTACCATTCACCCTTTGATCCTCTTTGTGTACACCAGAATATAGAGGATTAAACATTTTAAAACGCAAAACGCCAGACATATTTTACAGAACAATAAATAATTAAAGAAAACGTTGAGAGCGAGGTCACTCTAGCTGGACGGGTTACATTCAAGCAGCAGACGTATTTTTTCCAGGGTGGGTGGACGCTGTTGTATGAAAATAAATATATTTGCGCTGATTCTCAAATAAAATTGCAATTTAGTAGAGAAAACGTTAAGAGAAAGAAGTATTTGAGTGTTCAATTAATGTGAGTCACATAAATAAAATTAATGTTTAATTTCTACCTGCTGCCAACAGAATAAAAAAAGTTATAAAATAAAAACATCAAGGCATTGGTATCAGACGTCCAGTCGTTATTGGACTGTGCTTTTGAAAACAAAACGTCTTTGGGCAACATAAAATCTGCGTTAAACATTATTTGATGATTGTCACGTACAAAAAAGGGAAACGAAGTATGCAAAGCAATGTAAAGGAAATGTAGCAATGTTTGAAAGAATCCAGAAAAAAAAAAAGAATGAAGTGTAGCTTCACATTAATTATAGTTTCATAAATAAAAAGCGAGAACACTCTCGAAGAGTATGCTCAGGCTATTTGGAACTGCAAGCTGTGAAGATTAAACCGCCAAAAGAAATGACGCCATAAAGGACTGCATGTCGGTTCTTTTTCGGCGCTTTAATGGACTGTATGCCGGTTCTTTTTCGGCACTTTAATTCACACAACATACCATACAGAACACATAAATAAGTTTTAGAAATTTTTAAATGCCTATGGACTCCAATCGCTCTGTGTTACGTTTGAGATAAGAGGCAGTTTTCAGTAATAAACTCGGACTCTTAAGCCAGTTTGTTTCTAGTTTCGGATTATTCCAGACGGTTCAAACAGAAGTGCGATGAGCTTTGACACTGTACTTTACCTATGATATCTTGAACCAGATTGAGTTATTCAGAGAATACTGCTATGGTTTTGAAGTTTCTCCTAGATCCACAAATCTGCCATAAACAAGCAGTGAAGTTGCATCTGCTCATTCCTTTTGCTCTATCGAGAGTGATGAAGTCCCATGGACGTTTTTTTGTTTTTTTTTTATATGAAAAAAAAAATACACCGTGGCCATACTGTTCTTTATGATAACTTTGCCGCTCAATGTACAAGATCTACAACAATTAAACACAAAGCTGTAGCTTACGCAAAAACTGCACTAAACCATATACAAACACGGCCCATTAAAACAAGAAATTGACTACACTGCGATTACTCATAAGCAGTGAGAAATCACTTACATTGTTGAAATCTTTGTCTGGACATCTCTTCAAGACAGGATAGAGTTCAGCGCACGTTATTTGACCTGATGAGAGGAGAACAAATAGGCCGAGATATAACTCACGTGAAGCAATGATACATAATATTTGAGGGCTTACCTAAACAAGCGACGATTACAATGAAAAGACTCGCGGCCGGCATTATCAGTTCTCGCAAGGGATTGAAATATAAAGAACGGTAAACTAGTGCGATATCAGCCTGAGGCACGTGCTGAGGAAAAGGCTAGTGCTGTCTCTCTCTGTAAGCGTAATCCCCCTTTTTATATATGAGGTTTTGTGAGTTAAGACACGTGTGCCCATAACAATAATGGACGAAGAGAGCAGGGTGTTCGCCTTATAATATGACTTGCGAAAGTGAAGAGATATGTAATACGTTGACGTTCCAACAATTGCTATGTGTTATCTTAATCTGAACAACCGAGCTCGGACACTTCGACCTGTTGGAAGGCACGACAACAATGGTTGTTTGTGAAACTAAAGAAAGTGTGCCTAAAAAGCGTGCTTGTGCCGAGCGAAATGCCTTTTGTGAGGAAGTTTACACTACAACGTAATGAAAAAAAAACATGTAGAATATACACTTTGAAATAGTACCTGTGGAAATAGCGTTCTAGAAATACCGTATGGAAGAACATTTTTTCCTACAAATGCGGTGTAAAGCATTGATTGTTTGGTATATTACTTTAGCCATGCTATCACTTGTGAAAGAATGTACGATGAGCATTTATTGTGGCATTCTTATGAATATAATCAATTCTTACATTTGCAGAATTCACAGCCTAACTTTGGCAATACCGAAGCCTACGGACTTCTTTGTAAAATATTGCAATGCAAGTACGAACCACGTGGTGTACAGTCTCCGTCAAACGTAATGCTTTAACGGACCCCCTACACTATTGAGCAATTATCTGCAAGTCGGGAATTGACCTGTCGGCGAAGAAGCAGCTCTTGCTATCCTGTTTGGAACAGTGACCAATGTTTTAGATTGTAACCGCGTACGGAGATGGCTATTAAAATAGCGCCAAACACGGCTAATGCGAGCTAACAAATGGCAGAAGTTAGTCCAAAAGCTACGTTGTTTTGTATCTGAAATGTAAGAAATATTGAAAGATTTACTTGTCTAACGAACATAGTGAAGAAAACAAACACAGAAAACGTGCATTTAAGATAAAAAAGGGGGCAACCCAATACCGTCTAAAACTCGGCTGCAAATTTCATTTTGGCGCGTCTCCTTTGCACAGGCTGTCTTTGTAAGACTAACATATTTGTTTTAAAAAAAGGTGCTTAAAAGTTACACTTATGCGGTTTGTGCAGGCGAGTCATGCGGCCAGGGGGACATAATATGAAACCTAATCGTAGCAATCTGTCGGCTAATAAGGTGAAATTCGTTAGTTAACTTGTAATTAGTGAAAATAGACACATGATTCCAATAAAATAAACTAGCTGAGCGGCATGAAAATCCGCTATGTCAATAATTTTGAGACAGAATTTGAGCGGGTGAGAAGCGCAGTTGTGCGCTAAATTAATCGTTCGCGCAGCAGGATCACAGCTGCCGCAGCGATGACGTGCCTCCGCGATGTTTTCCGTTTGTTATCATAGACCCCGCCTTGGTACCTGTTGCAGAAGTAAGAAGCCTTGGTACCTGTTGCAGAAGTGGTACCTTTAGTGCACTGCTATCCTTCCCACGCGGTCAAACTATTTTTAAAATTGATTGATTTAGTGGTTTTCGATGGCGCTTAGCAAGTTTTTAATTGAACCATGTCTATAGACTTTTTCATCTCTGTAGTTACCTGACCAGTGGAATGAGGGCGTTGACATATAACGTGGCTTCAATTTGGTAGGTTTCGATTTCAACGGGCTCATGGCGGTGGTGGTGTATTATGTCGTCTTCGTTTAGCTTTGTAATCACGTGGATCAAAGCTTTGTAATCACGTGGATCAAAGCTTTGTAATCACGTGGATCAAAGCTTTGTAATCACGTGGATCAAAGGTTTGTAATCACGTGGACAAAAAGGATCACGTGGCGGCGACTATCGCCCGCCACGTGATCATTTTAGTCGATGACGTCGCTAGTCAGTGTTTAAAGAGGCGCTACTCGTGCTTGGGGAATACGGGTGTCAGTTTTATTCAGTGATTCGTCGCCTCATCGATCGTCATTCGTTTCAATATTGTTTCATTTCGTTTCTTTAAAGCTGACACGAAACGATTTTTCTATTTTCACTAAATACTACTTAGAATCACTCTCTAACCTTACTAACTGGATTAACTTCCCTTAGTTTTTCTTTCTAGGCAATGTCAGTCGCCAAAAAAATTCGAGCAATATGAGCATCGTTCGTCCACTCAACACGGAGCCAGAGCTAGCGGCCACGTGGCCTGGTGTCACGTGCCAATTTATAGAAATAAATCAGATCTACTGCACAATGGTGAAATAACCGACACCGCAAAACGTGCAAGCCGTTCGAGCGGGTAGCGTCGACTTGGGTTGCCACTGCACGAGGATTCGTAATCCGGGGCGCATTCGAACCCAAGAAGCTCTCCCTGTTGTCTGCCATTGTGCAGGGATTACACAGCATCAAATAAAAGGCCCACTTTCGAAAGGGGTGTATCATTCTCACGCGCTGGCGTTGGCAGAGTAAAAAACGCGTGAGGGGCTCGAGGTATTGTTAGAGTTCGGCTATTCTCATCACCGCGTTAGTGAAACACGAGCTACTCACTACCCGAGTGTCCACCGAGGCATTCATTGCTACGAGCCGAAATCGAGTGTTCGAGCCGAAGTCGAGTGCTCATGCCGTTCTCGTGCCCAAACCATGAGCCATGCTCGACTGTCGTCAGACGGGTGGTTTCGGTCCCACAGTTACGTCATTAAGCTTTGCGAAGGCAAGCCGGAGAGAAATAGTCCCCTTTTTTCCTCGCAATTTCACCGCAACAAAGAAGCTTCTGAATCAGTGGCGGTCTGTGCGAGTATACCTGGGCCAGAGTAGGACCAGCACGCCTCAGCAAATGTATTGTAAAAGCTTGGTCTGCTGGGCAAGTTGGTAGTGGACATTCATATTAAAAATAGCGCAAAAGAGACGGGACAAAAAGACGAAGAAGCACACAGGACAAACGCTAGCTGCCTCAGCAAAGTAAGTAATATTGCAACTTAATATCGTTTCATGACCCCTTCATCGAAGTTAAGCACTCGAGAGATGGTTTAATGGTCCATCCTAGGCCGCGTAGGAAATTTTTTCCAACTATCAGCAAGGTTGAAGTATTTATTATCAGTATTTTACAAAGTTCACCCCAAAAACTATTTGTTGTACAAACATTTCCTTTATGCGTATTCAGAATGTGAGATAAGGGACAAAGCCGTCAAATGAAATCTGAGGTCTGCCTTCCATACGAATTTCAAAATAAAATTAGATGTAGCAAGAGAATTGACCTCCAGCAAGTGTGGCTCAAGTCAAATGCAACGCATCACTTGATGAATTTGAGTAGACAAACCTTTATTTGCTTAAACATTTGCACGTTTTACTTTCACCAGCCTCGAGAGTATATCCGCCATTGAGGACGCTGCACTCTAGTGCAGTGGCTCTCAACTATTGATGTTTCACGGACCCCTTGTAGATCGGCGGAAATGATGGAGGCCCCGTTTGTGGAAGGGGGAGGAGGAACAGAAATATATAGATTTATTATGATAACGATTTAAAAACTTAATTTTAACAGTGCTAGTGCGAAGTACACTTCTCTCATTGGCATACACTTGATAAAACACTGCTGAAAATTGATACGACTCTTCTCAATGTGAAAAAAGTCAACTTTTGTTGCCGGTTTTGACTAATGAGACAGCGCTTCGCGGACCCCTTAAAAGCCGTCGCGGATCCCCATTTGAGAACCAGTGCTCTAGTTACTTCGATGCGGACGGCTTCTCTCCGGCGTCACATATGGCGTCCCTCACCCTCTTTGCCAGGCCCTCACAAGCTGTATTTGACACGTTTGTTACCCGGAAGGCCCAACCCTTTGTGTCTAAATAAATCATAAAATTGCATATCTTAAGAACATTGAATGACAGCAGACATGAGACCAAGCACAATGTATAGTTATTTTAAATTCATAAATAAACACTTAAAGCGAATGTTTATATCACAACATTATTTCAAATATAATCAAAATCAACTGATTTGCATTTGTTATGAAGGCACAACATAATGTTTTTAAGAAACACACATGGTGACACCTTGCGTTGACTATATTTGCCTTCTATATCATCATAAATACGTGATCAAAATATACCTTGCTCTTTTTATTGCGCCCCTATCACTTAAGCAAATTTGCGCTTCCATACACAACTGGTCTCTCAACCTTCGTGCCTGTTAAGCTGGGGTCACGCTGCTCGTACGCCATCCGAAAGGGAATGAGGGCTGTTTTTTGAAAGGCATTTCGTAATAGGGCAAACTGTAGCAGAGCTATTCGTCACTAGAACAACTCGTCGAAAAACCGGTGATAAGGTCTCAAAATCTTGTTCTCCGCGTACTAACTTTCTTACCGTTCGGTCACCTTTGTTATGCATCTTCTGCGTAGTGTCCTCTTAAGAAAGTGTTTTTTTTTTTGTTTTTGTTTTTTCTTTTGGCTGGGAAACATTTTAGTTGACCTTGGAAGCATAGAATATAAAAGTTCCAGGAGCGGGACACAGCTACTGCGCTACACAAACTTCGCATGCGTCACACTGAGAGAATGCAGCTGGTCCACGTGCGCGACACAGATGGCATATGCGCGACCCGGAAAGAATCGAACTCGTCCACGTCCGCCACACGGACAGACCGCGCATGCACGACACAGGCTGCGCGCGACCGATACGTCTGACGTAACACCGCGCAGTGGCCTAACAATTTTCTATTCATTCCTTTCCTACAAAGAGGTGCCAAAATGCTGGTGGACAAAACCTAATTAGTCACTGATTAAGAGAAATCAGTATGTTCTATTTCTTGTGTCGAGATAAGTTTAATTAAATCAAGAAAGAGGGTCGCTGGTAGTTGAAAGGATCATGTTCGATAAAAATCATAAATGAGTAGACGTCAAATTCCCTGCGATCTCGGAGGCCATAAGTTCATCGCGCGACGTTTCGTCTACTGACCGTTTTGTCGCTAGTTACATCGAGAAGCTCAGG